AAAGTTAATAGGACTTTTTAAAAATATTTGTATAATATCATATCAATAGTATCATCTATATTAACTATAACATGTTTCAGTTAGTTAGAACTTGTATTATGTTTGATCAGTATACGATCAGTATTATGCTATGAGTAAAATATACAAAGTGTATTCCAAAGTTAATAGGACTTTTTAAAAATTTGTATATAATATCATAACATTAATATCATCTATATTAACTATAACATGTTTCAGTAAGTTAGAACTTGTATTGTATACGATCAGTACACGATCAGTATTATGCTATATACAAATATACAAAGTTTCTTCCAAAGTTAATAGGACTTTTTAAAAATTTGTATATAATATTATATCTATAATATAATCTATATTAACTATAACATGTTTCAGTTAGTTAGAACTCGTATTGTGTACGATCAGTATACGATCAGTATTATGCTATGAGTAAAATATACAAAGTGTATTCCAAAGTTAATAGGACTTTTTAAAAATATTTGTATAATATCATATCAATAATATCATCTATATTAACTATAACATGTTTCAGTAAGTTAGAACTTGTATTGTATACGATCAGTACACGATCAGTATTACGCTATGAGTAAAATATACAAAGTGTATTCCAAAGTTAATAGGACTTTTTAAAAATATATATTTATAGTAATAACATCTATATTAGCTATTACATGTTTCATTAAGTTAGAACTTTTATTGTAATATCACCAAAATTTTTTTACATTGGACGAATGAAAGCATCTAGTATAGGTATTTATGAAATATTTATAATAGCGATGCATGTAATTGGGAATAGATGTCCGAACCATAAGGCCCTGTCCTTAAAAATTTATTCCGTTTGAAGAGATAACTCTTCAGGAGATCGGTAGAAAGATTTTAGATGGCTTTTAGGTTTACAGAACAGTTTATTTAAATCGATATATGTGTGTATTTTTGAATCAAAAATTGAGTCATTTGGAGTATGCTGATGACGTAGTTCTAATTGCCGGTAGGATCTCCGATATGCAAGTAAGCAGTACGAATCTAAATAATGAATCGAGTAAAGTCGGCCTGAACATTAACGTAATAAAGACTAAAACAATGCGCATAAATACCAGCAATTAGGATAGTCTATTTGTCAACAATAATATCTTAGAGAAAGTACAGACGTTCAAGTATCTCGGCAGTGTTGTTGAAGTCTAGAGTTTTAGACATAGAATTCCGTATACGAAACGCGCAAGGTATCTTTGGGCAACTTAAGAAAATATTGCGATCAAGTACAATAAGGCTAAGATCAATATTTTGAATGCAGGCGTCAAAACGACTCTCTTATACAGCTGCGAGACATATTAAGAAAATACAAAGGTTCATAAACAGAAGTTTGGGGCACATTATGTGATTTGGTAGCCTTGATTTCAGAGTTATAGAGAAAGGCTGTTAGTTTAGAACTGAACTGTGTGTTCAGTACTTGTAGAGCAATAAAAAATAATATAATCGGAAAACTTTGTTTACTTAACATGTAACTACTGAAAACTGGTAAATAAGTAAGTAATAAATCCATTTTGTAGAAAAGCTTAATAGGTTTCCAAGCAATTATAAGAGTATCCGTATTGTTATAGTTTTCATTTTCCTATTTCACTGTTAAGATTTTAAAGAAAGTAATTGTCTTCCAAGAGTGTTCATCTTTATATTGCCTTCCATAGTCTTCGGCTATGTTCCGAAATTACACGTTATCCCCGACCATGTACTGTCTAATATTTTGAATGAAGTTTCACTATTTGTAAGTAAGGTCAATCGATTTCCAATGTATTCAAAATAAAATCACATTAATAATATTTACCCAGGCGGATATGGTTAGCATACGAGTATTCAGTTTATGGATATTCTATTTACTAATATTTATTTCCTTCACCTTAGTGGTTTTGTTTTCATTTTATTTTTGAAGTAAAATAAAATTTGAATATTTGCAGATACATGAGATGCTGTGAACATTGGCTGACTATGAAGATAATTTTTTTTTTATTTGCTTTTAACAAGCTTGCTTGCGTGAAGTTTGCAAAACCACATCGTTAAACTTGAAGTTGCATTTCATGCACTTTACATGGCGGTTATTACTGCGGCCACAACGCATGTAATTGAAGTTTACAAATTATGTGCAGAGGCCTTCAAAAGTCAGAGACCTTTGGGATTGGCTTAATGATGATGGTTACAGTTTCAAAGAAAACGGCAGCTTTTGCCATTATGCAAGCTGTCAAATAATTTAAAGGAAACACAAAACAATAATCAATACTAATGAATTGCAAACAGTAGTAACTAAAGTAGTAATATAAACTGGTATGTAAGAGTCTGTTACACAATATTTAGCAAATAATATTGTAAAATGTATCTTTAATCAAATCAGTACACAACTACATATGGCATAGTTAAAAGATTGGGCGTCTTTATAACTCGTCTTGCGTATATCTGACGGAAATGTTCCTAATTGAGGAGGTATTAATAGTGAGATGCACATTGTTAATCTACTGGATTGTCGGTATGTATTTTTTAGATAGTGCAACAAAGCTTACATAGCTTATATAGTGGGAAACCTAAACGCATTAAGTGTATGGCGTTTTTTTGTGATATGAGTCCGATGACACTCAATATAGGGGGAAACGGGTAAGCTGATAAACTGGCAAAAAGACGATCTATAATACGGTAGGCTCTATTACAACTGGTTATTTCAGCACTAATCATCAAAAAATTTCAAATCAAGGATAGAAGATTGAACTACTATCCTTCCTATTTCTCTATTCTTGCTAGTTGCAACGTGTTATTGTTGATGAACACAACTATAGTTTATTTCTGTAGGTTGATGGCAGTCATTACTGCAAATAGATTTCTGTACTATCTGTACTATTGAGAGTAGATGGCCAAAATGGGAAACGTCAAAATTACAACAAGCCAGAAGAAGGGCAACTGTGTTGCATTTCCTCTATGTAGTGCGCATATACACATATGGCTATACAGAGAAGTAGGCATTGAATGTATAGACCTCTATCTATAAATGTATATCACTATTTAATCATTTTGGGTAACTAAGGAAATAAACATTAACGAACTTCAATGTAAGTAATTAAAAACGAAAGTCCTAATAAAGAAAAAGGAAACCTTTTTCACATTTTCTGTATATGTCTAGCATTTTGGAGAAGAACACAATAACCTTAGGTAAACTACTTCGTAATAATCCCAGGTTGTTTCGGATAAAAACATAAATGAAAATGACAAGTTTTAAGCACATGGACTAGCTCTAGTATTAGTTTTTAAGCATCTGTGTGAATATTAAAGCCCTATATCCCGAAAACTGAGTTATTTCGACATATAGCGTAGACGCAAAAGTTGTTTAGAGAAATGTGCTTTATCAAAGCCGTTTAACAAGTTGAGGGACTCAAAAAATGAAATAATTATATGTAATAAATATTATAATAAAAATAAATACTATTAATAATAGTATAATTAAGTCTACTAGTAAGTAGATAACATAAATTTCGATCACCTAATATAATAAAAACCGTTATTATCAGATATATGATTTGTGTTTGATTATAAATGAAAATTAATCTTAAAATTGAACTGCAGCAATTATAAAAACCAGGTGAAGAATAAAAATCAGATATTTGAAAGTTTGAAAGAGAGCATTACTAGTGAAGATCAATAATTTCTTATTGAAGAAATTATTAGGTTGTAAGTCTATAAAGTTTCGTATATAAAAACTTCATTTAATTTAGTAAAGATATATGGTATATTGGTATAGAACATATTTAAGCTAAGAGTACTTTTTTGTTTTACTATATAAGATATTTGTATTACTTAACAGCACTTCCATTTATCTTTGCAAGTACTTTACAGCGGTTTATACTATTGAGTAGGTAAGTTCCAAACCAACATTTGGCACCTTATACAGAAACTTTAATTGAAATTATGGAGGGAATTACCTTTTAAGAGCTTTGTGTAAATTTTTGAGGCTTACTTTTTTTTAAAAATTTGGAATTTTAAAACCAGATATCTCGAGAACTTTGCTATACCGGCATATTCTGAAAATCAAGAAAATCGGTACCCAAATCGATTTCTATATTATTTTTACCTAAGATATGATCTGCTTTTGATTAACTGTAACATATATCTTTATAAAATCTGAGGACTTTACGTGATATATTTTAGCTGAATACGTTATATACTCACAGATGTAACAGGTAAATGTTGTATCCCTGTTAACTATTATAAATATGACATAAAATAATAGGTAGTAGAAGAGTATAAACAATTAAAATTTTAATAGTTTTTAATTTTTAGCAATAATAAGACACGAGTACAAGAGGTTACTCTTACACTTCAAACCATGTGAACTGAAAATGTGCTAGAAATAATTTCTTCACTATTATAAATAATACAGGTTCTGCTTCTTTAAGAAAGATCAGAATATTTTCTGTCAAGAAGTTCTTGACATATGATAGACTAATGAGCTTTTAACTAAATATACTGTTCGAGGTTTAAAGAAAAGCTGACTAGTTACACAGAAGGTGTTTAGGAATTTCTTTCTAAATAGAGGCAGTACACTAATATATATAGACTCCGTTCGATGTTATTGATATGGTAGCACAGATCACAGTGCTATCATCTACTTCGATAGTAGTCATATTGCTGTTTAGCTGTCACAGTTGTTACTTTAATATAGTTTATATAGTTATTTAGTCTAACAAAACTAATTTGTGTCCAATATAATAGATTAAATTACATATAAATATCTAACAAGTAAATAGCAATTACCAAGTGAAATATTTTTTTACTCTACAACTACGTTTGAATTTATGTAAAAAAAATTCAAAAGATTTCAATTAAAAATGAAAAGTATCTTTTAAACAAGTTTTTTGTTGAAATTACAAAGCGAATAACGAGGTGAAGAAAGTTCTGCATCAATTTTAACAATTGCAAAAAATGAGCATAAAATGCATATAACCAATATACTAACCTGATATCGTTGACATGGTACGATTGTGATTACCGCGCACCAGTTCTGATGGCCTTAGGCTTGGCTCCTCAACAACTTCTAAACCAGAATCAGAATCGATCGCATCCACATGCAAACTGTGGCTTGGATTTCGTTGAGATGAATTCGTGTGTTCGGCAAGAAGATTGTTCTTCTGTATTGGAGCACGTAAAGGTGGTGGCAACGGAGGAGGTGGTGGACCGTTGACTAAAATTGGAGCAAAAATGTTAAGAATTTAATATTGTTACTCATAGAACGTATCTAATAGAAAGTTATAAAGTAGAATTAAGGAATCAAAACAAATTACCAATTGTAATATTTTGTGTTGGCGGCGCGGACGAAACTCGCTTCAGATGTCTGTTATTATTATTACTGTTATTATTATTATTAATATGATTATTGTTATGATTATTGTTATGGTTATTATGATTATTATTGTTATTATTAATTATATTATTACAATTGTTATTATTGTTGTGATTGTGAACACTAGCAACATGTTGCACTATTACTGAACTGTTGTTGTTGTTATTGTTGCTGTCAGAATGCACTGAGTCCAGATTATTTCTGATAACAGAATTCTTATTTGATTGTTTAGTTCTTTCTGCAACATCCTCTGGTGGACACACACTTTCATAAGTATCACTATGAACGCCACTGTTCAACTGATTTTTAAGATTTATATTCTTTGTTGGATAATTATTATCCTTGCGTACTGAAGGATCGTACTTGGTGTGCAGGCCAATGATGGATTGTGATTTATTACGATTTAGTAGACTTGTATCTCGTTTGTTGTTAAGGTTCTGAAAGTTAATAGTTTTACTATTAGTTAGACTACTCCGATTTATATATGTATGTAATATATCTAAATATATATATTTGCAACTTACATGATTACTGTACTGCAAAACAATATCAGTGCTTCTTGTAGATGAGGCGCTGGCAGATCTTGAGTGTGAGCCACTATCTCGGGAACGTGAACGACCAATATTATATTTGGGTTGATTTTTGCGTACATCTTCACGTACCATATAAATGTCCTCATAGTCGTGATCTCTGGAATTTGCAGCTTTACCATTGTTCATATTATTTTTTTGATTATTTTGATGTACTAATATTTTATTATTGCTATTAATAGTGCTATTGTTGTTATTGCTGTGATTGTTCATGTTACGCACATGATTAGTGCTATTATTGTGACGGTTAAAGCTTTGATTGCGATGATTATTAGTTTTAGGTGAATTGATGCTAGACGAGATAGAAACAGATTCATCTGAACCACTACCAGCACCACTGGAACTAGAATGTACATCAGCTTGTACGGTCACAGCATTTGCAATCTGAGCATTACCATTATGCCCTTGAGCATTATGATGATTTGTTTTTTGTGTCGGGTGTTTAACACTACTGCAATCTGATTCAAATATGTCCCTCATGCGATTGTAAATAACTTCCTGTGTATCATGCATGAAATACGATTCACCAGATACACTACCGTTCGGAGAGGGTGGTGTAAACATACCATTACGCATAGGATTCACATATAAACCATCATTTGGTACAAGTGAGCCACTATAAATTTTTTCAGATGATGAGCGGGATTGTTGTGATTGCTGTGAGTGTGAGTAAAGTGCATCACTATTCTTACGCACTACTGTACTTGGAGGATGTATATAAAATGGCTCAGCATCAGAACTCAATGTAGACGATGATTTTGATTTGATGGTGTTGCTACGACTAGTCTGTTTGCTGCTATTCGAATTACAACTGCCATGTGAAGCGCTTAGCAAACCATTATTGTTATTGTGATGTTTACCTGAACTTGAACTTGTTTTGTGACGTTGTGAAGTACTTTTATCACGACTATTATAATCTACTGATGTACCATGTTGTACTAGAACATTTAAGCACTAAATACAAAGAGAAAAAATTTGGTAGATGTTAGAAATCAATTCTTTTTATATATCGTATTTACAATAAAATTATTTATGTTGTTTCTTACATGAAATTACAGTCAAACTTCCATAACCCGATGTACTATTTACCAGTTATGTTAGAGTTCGAGTTATGGAAGTTTAATTGTATATTATTGTGGTATAAAAAGTTTTAGATATTTACCTCGACCTGTTGATTTTCTGCAGCATCGTTAATTGGTGATTTGCCATACTTATCAAGCGATAGTTTAGCGCCATGATTTAAAAGCCATCTCACAACTGATAAATGTCCACGAGAAGCAGCAAAGTGCAGAGGAGTTGCACCATCACCATCACGTAAATTTGGATCCACACCTTGATCTTGCACCTATAAAGTATCAATGAAGAGATTTTTATTTATACTTATTAAAAGTTTCAAATAGAACTTCAAGTAGAAGAAAGAGTTAACAGAAAGTATACATAAGTAAATAAAGAATTATTTGGATGGATAATTTTACTACTAATGCATATATCATATCTAGTTTCCTAGATTTTATATTTTTTAGATTGAAGCAAAGTTATAGAAATAAGTATAGATTAATTAGCTTATGAAAAAATATTGAAATTTTAGTTGAATAAGTAGAACATAATCTAAAAATGATTTTACTTAGTAAAAGTCTCTTCTACCAAAGTATTGGGTATTGGGGTTGAAGAATACATCCTTGGTGATATTATGACTCATGTTATAAGAAAAATTGACCACTCTCAATTAAGTTCCAATATATGGTATATTCCGTCGAAAGATTTGCTAGGCTTCAAACTATACTTCTATAAATTTGAATAACTTATTATCAGAATTCAACGTATCTCTTATTACAGTGGATCTTCCAAGTGCTCACAGGCACTATTGAGTAAAATTACTTTAGACACTAACTCGCGTTTCAGCAAGCAAGGAAGAGAGAAGGATGAAATAAGGAATGGATGAAGGATGAAATAATGACTAACCGAAATGAGGATCATCGTTAATTTTCAAGTTTTTAGAATAAAATATAGCAAACCATTTCCTGGCAGTTAATTACAATAAAGTACTATCACTATAAACACTATATCTAACTACTTAAAAGCTACGAATATAGTAGTAAGTCTTCAGTATTAATACTTAGTAAACCTGCTAAGATAAGGGAAATCTTCAGTATTAATACATAGTTATAGATCGATTAGATAAAACAATAAATGGAACAAAGTATAGAAATTGTAAGAAATGTTGAGTTAAGATATATTATGAATATGGACGACGTAATATTACAAAAGTGAAGTGAATAAATATATGTAATACATTAAGACTGAAAAGTTTTCGGAAATTCTCATTTAAAATTCGCGCGCTGTATATTTTTTGATATTTTAAGTTTATGTAGTTTGGCAGCACTGTCCTTAATTACTATGCAAAAATGAGCGCGATCTGTCAGACAGTTCGTTTACGGCAGCTGTAATGGAACCAAGTTCACCTCAGTAGTGCGTTGCGAAATGTCTTCGACGGTCTTACGACCGTGGACGAAAGGTTTGTACCACTCATAAACTTGAGTTTTCGATAAAACTGATTCCCCATAAGCCTTTTGTAGCATTCGCAACGATTCTGCACACGAAATCTCGAAACACAAAATTTGATGCAAACTCTTTGTTCAATATTTTTTTCCATTGTTTTTTTCGCAACGCACTACTGAGGTGAACTGGTTTCAACAGCTGCGATAATGGTACTGTCTGACAGATCGCGCTCATTTTTGGCATAGTAATTCAGGACATGCTGCCAAACTACATAAATTTAAAATATCGAAAAATATACAGCGCGCGAATTTTAAATGAGAATTTCCGAAAACTTTTCGGTCTTAATGTAGTACAATTAATATACTCGTATGTTATGCATGATATTATGTAGTATTAATTATGAAAATAAAACTTTTTTAAACATAAAAGATAAATTTTAAATTATACAATATATACTTTTTTATTAGACTAAAAGAGTTAGTTTCTTCTCATGACAGCAAGGAGTTGCATCTCTTCAGTAGGATAGTTCGTCGGTCGTATATACGATCGATGTTGCAACAATTTTAAAACAATAATGACTGAGATACATAATTATTTATTCATTATATATTATTCAACTCGTGTAATTGTTAATAATTTATATTTTAAATAAATTTACTAATTAATATTTAAGAAATTTTTTTTTTATTACGTACAATGGTTTTTATATACATATGTATATAGTATCTCATATAATGAAATATATAATTAGTTATTGCAATGAATATAGCAAAAACAATGTATTTCATTTAAAATACATCACTTCAATGTATTTCATCTTTAAAATGAAAGTATTTATTTCTAAATTTATGAAGTTGGATGTGCAGTGGATATTGCAACGGCTACGGTTTGGGAAAATTTCGTTTTCTGCGTTTTAAACGCGTTAGACTGCATGCAACTTTTCGTATCTTTTCGTATCTTTTTAACGCTTTTTTGTGCTTATTTAGTTCAGTTTAGAAAGGCGATTTTCAACTTAATTTTCCAACTAAAAATTTACGACATGAAATTCAAACACTGAAGTCTGTTTAGCGTTAAACGTAGTTTCCAGGTTGTGATTACTCAATAACTGCTATAATTTTGTGATTTAAGTAATGAGTAGTTATGATTTTATCTGAAGATGCCAAGGGGTTAATATTTTGGAACGCTCGATGTATCCGTAAAATTTTTAAAAAAGTAGTAGTAGAAGTTGAAGTAGGCAAAAAAAAGGAAATTGCAGTCGCATATTTTCATATATGAAGATATTTTCGTTCATTTGTACTGAATGCAGTACAAATGCTTTTATTATAAAGATAAGTCTGTGCTTTAAACGTTTCTTAACACACAGATTTTCTTATTATCTAGTAAAACAGGCTTTATATTCGAAGATATTTTAGTTGCAGTACATATGCTTTCGTGTAAAGATAAGTCTGTGCTTTAAACGTTTCTTAACAGACAGTCTTTCTTGTTAACTAGTTAAATATACTTCTTTATTGTAAAGTTTCATATTAAAGAACTATTTGACATTGAAAATAATGTATGGAAGTTCTCTATAGAAATTTTCAAGTTTTACTGCATTTTTATTCTCTTCTCAATTTTCTATAGAACTTTCCATAGAAAAGTTCTCAAACGTAGTTGCACTTTTAAACTTTCATTTGAATCGAATGATTGTGGCTTTGCAAATTTGGTTTGAAGTTGCTGATGTGGAGACTAGTTGAAGCGAAAACCAATAATTCAGGATATCGAATTTACACGATTTAGAGTCTTAATTCTCATATTACTATCCTTTCGTTACCCATTTGAGTTGAGTTGGTGTTCTTATCGTTGAGGATAGGAAAAGAACAAGCAACTATGAAAATGTGAAAACTATGTAAAAAACAAAAATAATATATGTTATTAAGTAGAATAAACGATGTTAGAATAGCTGTAGTTCTATCCAGTATGAAGTAAATGTTAGATAACAACAAATTTGATCGAAATGCCGGTATGTCTCATATTACATTATTATTATTATCAAAAATAGGGATATAGGAATATCATCTCCTATAACATCTATCTCTACAGAGAGTCCCTTAACGTAATTTTAAGAAAATAAATAATCTTTACAATATTTTTAGTTTCAAAACTTTAGACCTCACTTGGTTTAATAACAGCTAAATGAATTTATTTTCGAACAATCGCAGAACACAAGAAATTAGCACTTGTAGGTCATCGTGCATTTGAAACGACATGATTGGATTAATTTGGTTCACAGTTATATATCATGATTCCTGTGGGACATGAGTGATTAAATAAGCTGATTCTACTTTTTAAAAATCTGCAGGTGTTAATATTCTTTTACACTATATTCGAAATTTACTTAACATATCAATTATTTACCTTCTATAAATCCATTCAGCATATATTACATTAAAGCTTTAAATTCTTTAAATTCTTTAATAATTATACAAATGTTTTCTATTAAATATAGTCATGAGTAAGTCTTGATTTTAATGCATACTGAGATAAGATAGGTTGAAGTAGCAATCTTGTGCACCAAAGCTAATTTGAACATATATAATGGCCCGTTGTGATACTATAAATGATTGTAATGGTCTATATAACGGACACGAAAAATCAAACTAAAAATTAAAGGATGAAGGATAAACCAACTAACGCATGAAAATCGGGTCCCCATTTGAATAAAAAGTAATCAACCTGATAAGTACATAAACTTGATTTAGTGCTCAATTTTGAATGAAAATAACTCTAATTTCAAAGAGGTCCCAAGAATTTTGAGTCTTTCTGTAGCTAAAGGTAGGCTACTGACGTGCGGCGTAGGATTGTGCAGAAAGGGGATATACTAATAAATATTTTTTTGGTGGCGTTTTTTAAATAAGTTTTATTTTGGTCCCCCTGGATTTACCATTGGTACTGGCACATGAAGCGGAGTACAGTTTGCTCCTCATCTGCAAAGCCAAAACCCTGATAAAAATCCTTAGAGGGTAGGTCAAGTTGTTGTTGTTGTAACCCGCCGGGACCTGCTTGTGTAGTCCCTTTGGGGGTGGTCGAACGGCACTTGGTCGTCTTTGACGGGACGTAGACCCGGCCGTTCTTGGAACCGGTAGGTCAAGTAATGTTGCGTGCTTCTATCACTAAGTGCTATGTAGGAACAGATATATTATTACTAAGTTCTTTCCATTTTACTTCAAAAAGCTGACTGGTGTAAGTTTTGTGCAATTTGGGTCAGCTGAGAATATTGTTCTGGCAAGAGCTTTTTATATAGTCATGTACTATGGTAATGGTAATGGTTTATGGGTTGGGACAAGACCTTTATGCACTGCGACCAGTTTGATCCATTGTGTCATGTACAATACTACATATAAATATATACGTATAAGTTAAAAATAACTTAGAATTTGAAATATATGTTTGAATTTAAATTTCAAATAAAAATCAAAGAGAAATGATCTATTGGTACTTAATAGCTCACTTTCACGGAAAAAGCTATCAAAGTACTGTCAAAAAAATGTAATTTCAAAAAAAAATTATAATAAGTATTGTCAAACTATCAATTTAAAAAACAGTTCTATTAAGTGAAATGCTAGAAAATCGAAATTTAAATGTAATTAAAGTGTTAAGAGCATAAAAGTAGCGCAGACTAAACCTCATTAAAACGTCTGGTTTTTTATCTTCAAGGTAATTAATTTAAATTTTCATTTATCCATTGCTACCTCAGTTCAAATGATATTTGTCTAAATAGCGCCCACATGGATTTGTCAAAAATACATTCATTAGCTTTAATAGAAATGCAGAAAAGTATAATTACGGAAAAGTTGCAACAAATTTAGAGTTGCAACTTTGATGAAGATCCATAGATAAAGAAAAATGAAACCGAAAAAAGCAGATAGATACTATTAAATGAAAAACTTACCATCCACTTCAAGCAGTCTAGGCAACCCATTTGGGAAGCAGCATGAATCGGTGCCATGCCATCGCGTGCTCGCACATATAACGATCCGCCAGCTTCAAGCACCAGAAATTTTAGCACTTCCAGGTGTCCCTCCTGTGCCGCCAAATAGACTGGCGTGACATCGTTGTCCATTTGCGTATTTGCGCTGCAAAGAATATATGACGTTTAATAAAAAATCTCAAAACAAGACACGCATAAAATTAATTTTTCATTTTAGAAATGCAACTGGCAACACAAAATTATTTATTAAGATATTCTGTATATTTCAGTTGAATCATTATTCATTAGAGTTGTCTGAAATCTGTATCTGAAATCTATTTCAACTGGACTAGTTTCATTTATTTCCACATTATTATTTTTCTTAATTTTTTTCCGTTCTAGTTTGAAGCGTAACACATCAGTTAATTAAAGTAATTAACTCAAAACATCTTTAACGACAATTTAAATCTGTGCTTATATATGGAAAATGTCTCGTTTATTGTTTATGAATTTGTAGAAAGTTTTAATTTTGCTATAAATTTAATTTATTTAATACTGTTCACGACATAAGCTGGAGTGCTTAAATCAAATTGCCTTGTTAACTATAAGTGATCTGCCAAGCTGTTGAGGAAGTAATGTAGTTTATATAGCGCTTGTTGCTCAATTAACTTTTAAATAGGCATTGCTAATCTATTAATTATTTAATTGTAAAAAATTGAGTTGTAATGCCTTAAACTGATTTCAATATGAAAACATACTGTCAAAGAAACATCTGATATGCGAGCAGAACTTAGGCAGGAATGAGATTGCAAGTTTAACTGATAGATACATTTTAGTTTGCAGTAAGATTAGCAAGATACAATACAATCGCATATATGCAGAATGTTAGAAAAGCTTTGCCTTTGAACATTAAGCAAATTCTTAGCGGATTAAATATTTAACTGATTTTATAAAAAGTGCTTTAATATGGGTTAATACGCATTATAAATTGCCTTTGCTTTCAAAATCGGCCAACTTTAAGTCTTTGACAAAATGAAAAGGTAAAAGTATCAGGCTGTGATAAAATTTTTTTATTTAAAAGACAAAACTTTAGTACTAAATTATGTTAAGTTAGATTAACTTTAAGCAGGGTTTGAATTGCTGTTGCTAATTGCATTGCTTGCATAATTGCTAACGCATTGCATATGAAAATGAAATAAGAATATGCATTAGCAACAGCAAAAAACGTAAACTGGTTTCATTTTGATTGCTTGCTAATAGTCAATTTTACATTTTTGACTATTATGCGTTTGGAATATATGCAACGTGCTTGCTTATGCGTTAGCTGCTTGTGTTTTACTATTAGCAAATGTGTATGGATTTCTTCTTTTTGTTTTTGTTTTAAGGGAATATGTACGCATTATTTCTTTTATGTTTTTTACCGGGCGTAGGTCGTTTATTTAACACATTAATTTTTAAAAATGTTTTTTAAATAAAATAAAAAATTTCACTTTTTAAACTGTTTTAAATATTTAGTTATATTTTAATTTTAATACAAAATTATTTATATCACAAATATTTCGAACTACTTCGTAGACCATCTTCAATGTATAATAACAATAACAAAGAAATAAATAGTGGCGTCGGCAATGTCGGCGACTGTACCAAAAAGTTGTATATAATATGTTCTACATATTACTTAAAATTTTCCCACAAATATCATTTGTATTCACAAATATAAACGTATATATATATATATATATATGAATTAATAATTAATAATTAATATATATTTCTATATATATATGTATATATATCATATATAGCATAAATTTAATAATTAAAAAAAACATAAATTTAGGCAAAATCTATTTACAGATAAAATTATATTAATTGCATACAAATTGTACGCACACACATTACTTACAATTTTGCACAACTATATTCAATGCACCAACAAAGAAATAATGCGTACATATTCCCTTAAAACAAAAACAAAAAGAAGAAATCCATACACATTTGCTAATAGCAAAACACAAGCAGCTAACGCATAAGCAAGCAAGTTGCATATATTCCAAATGCATAATAGTCAAAAATGTAAAATTGACTATTAGCAAGCAATCAAAATGAAACCAGTTTACGTTTTTTGCTGTTGCTAATGCATATTCTTATTTCATTTTCATATGCAATGCGTTAGCAATTAGTCGTTTGACAAAAATCGACTGGTCAATAGTTATGCATTAGTCAAAATATGGTTGCTTTTGCTAATTTTCAGCAAGCAATTCAAACCCTGACTTTAAGTTGAATTTGTTCATACTTGAATTTGAACCTTTAGTTTGATCCAGAATGGTTTTCGACTATTACACATCTCTGAACGAAATGTCGATGCGGTTTAACATTTCTTTAAACTAAGTCCACGGTGATAGGGATGGTGTCAGCATAAATACTCATACTAAACGTTCATTGAGTATTACGCTCCAGAGGACAAGGATGAGAGATATTTTTACAATTCCAAGGCATGTGAGTTTACCAGACAAGGTGCTTTAGGAAATCACTCGAAACAACTAAAAAATCTGGGCTTGTCTTTGCCATCATGCAAACTCTGCTGAGTTCTTTCTGTGTTGAACTTTTTAATAAAAAATGTAAAGAATCAACGATATATGTGCAACTTGGTCATATTTTATAAAAATAAATCCAACACTCTAACTGAGTTGCCCCGTAAAGATATCAGTGGTAGCCTTGTGGTAGAGTTACTCACAGGTTATAGCAGCCTAGGAAACCGTGCTAGAAGATTGAATTTACTTTTTGATTATTCCTGTTGAAGTTGTGGAGAAGATGATGAAAGTGCCTCATATCGCCATTGTTTTTGTTCAGCGCCGCTTTACAATTCTAGGCTAGGCCACTTCGTCTTTGAGTATCTTCGCCAACACCAAGACTTCTCATTAAACAACATTTTAGGCATTGTTAAAGGATTAAGGTGGTATCCGAGTTATTCCTTCTACGATATCATAATACCCTAGTGACCTAAGTGGATCTCTTTTGGATTGCTGGAATAACCTTATCATACCTTGTTCACACTTTGACAGTCACAATGCCTAAAATTCATTATGAATTAATTGACCATACGCTTTATATATCGAGCCCGCATAAAAATGGGATTCTCGTTTTATTTTTAGATATATATAAACATATATGATTACACATATGTTTTTTATATGGTTAAGTTAGATCATTATTTCTATTATTTTCATTTATGTTACAAGTTCATTAGATTAAGAATGTGTGAGAAAATTTTTACGATAGAACCTGAAAGGCATCCAAGACAACTCTTGTGTTGTCATAAAGAGTTTAATACATGTGTAATCTATATCAAATTAATAATACATATATAATCTAAATCAAATTAATATATGCGTCCTTAACGCTTAGAATTTTTCACGTATGGCGTAGGGCATATAAATTGGAATAGATTTATGTGATTTATTTGTAGCAAGTCACCTTATTGGATTTATAATACATTTAGAATTGCTGCTAAAATAGTGGTTTTCAACAGAGAATATAAGTTAATACCAGCTTAGTGGAGTATTGACTAATTGGGTTATAATTTATATATCATAGAATATTTATGACTAGAAAGGTTTTGGCACTTATTGATATACGGTGTTTCACATATGCTGGTATTATTTTTGAGATAATGTAATATATTCAAAACTTCTATTCTTCTTTTGATTTTAAGTTTAGATCCACAAATCTTTTTTTTTTACGGTCTGAAGTTTTTTTTTTTATTGAACTATTAACGAATTTTCCAGCTCACATCGTAAGATATCAGAGCCAATATAAATAATATATACATAACTATTTATATAATGCGAATTGTACGAGTAGAGAAAAGGCCGTAAATGAATATCCTACATTTCCAAAATTACTATATTGAAGTAACAAATTCAGGTTAGAATAAAATAGGGTTTCAGGTTCCAAGTGGATCAAGTTTCATCTTAGTAGAACTTTTGTGTTACAACCATTACTAACTCAATATAAGATATTCACTAATTTGGACAGAGGTTAAAATATTTATCATTGTGGAATTTCTAATATGAGATGGGGACAGGAACTTCTGTCAAAATTTAATTCTTTTGGTTCAGATTAAAGCAGAAGCGATAACCTGTCATCTCTGACACAACATCTCATTGAGATGGTATCATAGGTTAAGATGTCTTGTTAGGGTAACTAGTGAAATGCTTGTTTAAGTGTTAAGAGGAGAGATAAGTCTTGGTAGACACAACGTCAAACCAGCTCTTTAACCAAAAAAAAAATATCTCTAATAATAATGAACACCTTTTTTGGTGGACATGTAATGTGAAATATTAATATAATGTTTATTAAACTTATTAAAAATAAATAATCATGGCTTGGTATTTAAAGTGGTGCGAAGGCAATAATGTTTTTATTGAACGATTTTATTGCAAAAAAATTATTTTTATATATAATATATAAATTGTTTTTTTTAAATTATAATATAAAATGAAGAAAATCAAATATTGTATAATGCATGTAAACTATGTATGCTTAAGTTGAATCCATGAAAAAAGCGTAGGAAATATTTAAATTAGTATTTAGTTATTATATTTAAACAATTATTATTAAAATTTAATAATCGTATCAAAAATAAAATAAATAAAATATTTTTAAAACTTTTTATTAAAATTATTTATTTAATATGCTAATTACTATTATTCGTGATAGAAATCACCTTTCAAATGCATTTGACGAAAATACTTCAATACTTCAACACTTCAAATTGTAATAATTTATTTGTGTATGTTTGTGTATGTTTGTTTATCTAAATATTCAGTTGACTGACTTGATATCGTCGAGATTGAACAGATTATATCACTTTAAAGTAATTTAATATGAACTGCATAATAGCTGATATGGTAAACATAAAAGCTCATAATGTTTTGTAATGCAGAAGTAGGCTTATGGAAAGGGAAGCTGCGCAACTGAACTAATTTTGATATCGAGCCATTCACTTTTAGACAAAATATCTACGATACAATTTTTTACAGATATTTTTGTTTGGTTTACAGATACAAAAAGGCTTGTGTAAATTTCTCACCTTTTCGTTTCCCACAATTATATTTGCTATGTGCAATAGGTTTTTCTGCTCTGGAAAATTGCAGTAAAAGATGTAAGTAATGTGGGTCTCTTTGTAGATTAAAGTTTTTTTAACTGTTTAAATTATGCAAAAATGTTACACACATAAATTATGTATATTATGTGACTAAATACATGTTAATATATCTGATGGATTTTTATGACACAACTTATTTAATATATCATTTAGTATATGAATATTTTTTATAATATATGAAGTGAACAGAATTATTAAAATTAAATAATTCCAAACCTCTCTAAAAAATAAACTCTTAATCTGTAAATAATTTTTAAGAGATACTAATATTTTCGAATAGAAAAAAATTAACATTTAATATTATAATGTCTTTAATTACAAAAAATCTCAATAATTTCAAATAAAAATAACTGATGATGTATATTTAAAATGATCGTTTAGTTATACTCCTATATATAGCTCAATAGGTATTTAATTTATATTGATGGTCAGTTGCATTGCGGGATAAGGGGATAGATACTCATTCTTTGGAAATGTGATCTATAAATAATTAAAACTATCATCTCTTTTTATTGAGAATATAATTTATTCTCTTGAGTAGTTTAATATTGAATATCCCAAGATATCCACTTAGGCGTATAGGGTTAAGGTTCAAGGGTAAGAACCAATTAGAACCTTTGGCAAAGCTTATAACGTTCTTGAGGGGGTGGTAATATTGGATATAATTTTCTTAAATTATTTTAAAAGGTTTTTTAATATTGTACATAAATCTATTAAATCTATTGTATTGAAAAATTCAAATATGTATATTTCAGGTATTAAAATAGTAGTGTTATACTTAATACTACTTTATTAAAATTTTATTTTATAGTAACAACATATGTTATAAAAATGATGTCGAATGATCTCAAAGAAAATTAGTAAGTTTATATGAGTAATATGTAATATATTATGAGTAATATGTAATATATTACTCATTAATATATGTCTTAATTAATATAATATATTAATTTATATATGTATGTAAATTGAGTGGACAAACAGGCTTAAGTAATTCCTTAGGACAGCTAACCAAACTTTACCTATAAGTTTTAAAAACTTTGGGTTCTCGTTCTAGACGGATTTGACATTAAGTGCCACTCATAATTTTCGTCACTGTTTCATTTTTCGGAAGAAAGCCAGTTTTGTCAGAATTTTACTTTTTGATAGAAAGGTAAAGCACACAGTTTTTCTTAAGAGCAGGGGCACCATTCTTGTCTCCATACGAGTTCTACATTCGAAAGAAACGCAAGCTAAGTAAGTTTTCTTATGAACGAAGAAAATACTTTATCAGAGTTCTACTTTCGAAGAAAATGCAAACCAAATAGACCAACAGGAGATCCACGAAGATCACAACAATAAAAACAAAATATATTATAAAACCTAGTTAAACTAATATTTCAAAACACCAAATAAAATATTGAAAATTTATGAATATTGTATCAAAAATCATAGTATGATAACACAAAAACACATGTTATTTTTACAATTTTGTATGAATATATAATATATATATATATGAATATATAGTATATACAATAATATAATATATATTAGCATAATGTTGTATATTAATATATACAATCAACATAAATAATGTTCTCTTCAAATTCTTACCTTACAATACTACGACGGTTATTGTGCTCTTTACGTACACCACCGGCATTATCATTATCATCATTATTTTGTTGTTCATTTGATTCCATTATTTCAACTAAATCGGATATATTCTCACTAGAAATAGAACGCAAATTGGAACTACTACTATTTTGTGCAACAGTGGCGCCGGCGCCGTTTGTGCCCTGTGTTGTAGTAGTTTCCGTAACTATGGAACAAATATCATTATTGGACTTGCTCTTCAGTTTACTACGTCGGTATGAAGTAAGACTTGTGGTCATGCGGCCTAGTAGGCCTTTCTTACTGCTGATCGTAGAAAAGTAACTAGAGAAAAGTGGGATTTTAAAGATATGTGCATATGAGTGAGTGTAACTTATAGTAAAGTGGTAAAGTGTGCGGGTGCCAATATTTATATTCACGGGTTGAAAGAACTTTAAAAAAAATATCTGGATTCTTTATGAGTTTAAAATGTAGAGAGTGCAATTTAGCTGTAAATTTGTGTAGGGTGAGATTGTCATTTTTGAAGATGTATTTTTTTTATAGGTATATATTTATTTTTTTTTGTCAAAAATAAACGAAATTAAATAATTTCACTTTTTATTTATAAAAATTCAGACTCGATTTCAATTTTTGATTTTATAAGTTCGAACTTCACTATTAACTAAATTTTTGTTATTATTAAGTGTTATATTTTATATTTTAGTTTTGAAGAGAATTTCACTTTTTATTTGTGGTCATTTTTTTTTTTTGAATGTTTTAGTCACTATTAGCTCTTTTTATATTTTAATAATTATTATTTATTATTAAACACTTCCGTTCTTCGTTGGTCCAATAATATTTTGAGGTTTTCGTTTTCGTTGTTAAATTGTGAATTTGGTTTTTTGAACTTTTGAATCAAATTAATAACTGTTCAGTTTTTTTTTTTTTGTAATATTATCCAAATAAATTAATACTATTTTAAACCATATTAAACTCAAATTTTATGGTTTTTAATGTTTAAACAAAAGAATTACTTTTATTTTTTAAATTGAAGCTTTTAGTTTATTATCTTTTAAAAAAGTTCATAAATAAATCGCTTTGTTGTAACTTTAATTTATTACAAAATATCTGATATGCAGCAAAAAAAAAAGAATATGAACGAATACTCTTATGTATAGATAAATAGATACATTACCGCAACTATATGTATGCGTATTATTAGATGATGTGAAGGTATTATCGCACTATTAACTGCTGAAGTTAGTAGTAATCAGTATCTTTTTTCAGTAAACCATGTAAAAATTAAATAGCATTGCAATTTAAATTATGCATGGAAAATAGTTTGAAAATGCTGAGTTGTGTTACATTAATTAACTATTCGGAGCGATAGTAAAATAATTAATCTGGAGATTGGTTAGATTTAGGTTAGTCGAAGTATATCCGTGTGTAGCGATAGCCATGTAAATTTTATAACCAAGAAATATTTTTTTAGGTTAATTGCTACCTATCTGTAATATAAGTATTCGGATATACTTTTAATAAGAGAGCATCTTGCAGTACTTTTATTTAATAATATAAATGAATTTATACGTGTTTGTTTTTGTTTATAATTTCTATTCAAGTAGACTGTGTTAACAAATTTGGATTCAATCTAGTAACTAATATCTGCGTCAAAGCCTTGGCAAGGTTTGACCGCGGTAGGTGGCGCTGCTATGGCGAAAAAAGGAAAATTATATTTTTTCAGTTAAAAAAATCTGTTTTTTCTCAAATATTTTTCAAAATAAGTTTTAAAGTAGAATTTCTAAAATAATATTTTCGATTTTGATGCTGGAAATTGGATTATGGTTAAACAGTTTTTAAGAAAACACTATAAACCAGTTCTTATTTTGAAAAAGAATGTCCTAACGTTGCTGTATTTGTTCAAGAAATAGATTCTATGGGTTCAGAAATAACTGTATGGTCAGAGTCCAAGAATTCAGTTTATTAAAAAATATGAATCTTTTCGATCTTGCAAATTTTCTTTGTATAAGTCACTCTTTTTAAGCAAATGTTACTAAAGTGCTTATTTTTGTATTAAATGTAACTGTAACTACTTTTTTATAATTTTTAGGGAATATATATAAAAGACATAGATAGAAATATTTCAAAACCACACCACCAGCACAGATTCATAATATAAAGCACTGCATTTTTTACTAATAGTTTAGATCATTTTTAAAATAAGATTATTCTAGTCATCTTGTCTTAATCTTATTATTGCAAATGTTATGAGAGATACTGTATCATCTACCTTTCAATTAAAATGTTTCTTAAAGAATCTTAACCACTCGTTTTAAAATAATATTACCATATATCAATCAATTTTTTGTAATATAAAATACAATTCTTAAGATTGTTTTAGAAAAAACTATTCTCAAGTATCTTAGAAGATTTCTCAAATTGGTGACACTTACTATAATCTAGTTAGTAGGCCGTCCGCTAAAAGCATTATAGGTTAAATTGAAGTTTTCAAAAAACTTTTAAACTCATTGCATTTATACAACAACACAACAGGCTAATTTGGATTTTAAGTTATCAGGGATTCAAGTCAAAACAAAAGTTGAACTTTTATAACTGGCAAAATGTAATGTAAGTTTTTTGTAAGATCTCTCCTTTAAGAGGATCTTAGGCTCAATTAAAGAATTGAAATACTTTTAAGTCCACTGAATTGATGTAGTAGTCAAATGAGCCAAATTCGATTTTAAATAACCGATTTTAAATTCAAGTCAAAAGATGGTTAAAATCTTGAAATTTTTTTAAACACCTCCCACTCAAGAGGATCTTGTTCTCCATTAAAGTTTCGAAATACTTTGGAGTCCACTGGATTGATTCAGCAGCCAAATGAGAAAAATTCGATTTAAAAAAACCGGGGATTATAAGTCAAAAAATTATTGTAGCCTTGTGATTTTTTTAAATGGCACAATGTTATTTAAGTCATTTGTAGAATTTTGCAGAATCCCGGCCAAGAGGATTATAAGTTTAAGTAACGTTTCAAAATACTTTTAAACCGAAGTGACAAAAACTTTGGTACTTAAGCATTGTAAGTTTGTGCAGCCTTGGTTACTTGTGTAAAAACTTGATTAGTCATCGTTTCTAATTTGACGAGTTCTAAGTCTGGTACTTGCAATCCAACAAATTATATACGGACTATAAACTAATTAAATAAGAATTGGAGTATTTCCTAAGATCACTGATGATGAGTATTTGGCAATACTTTAAACAGCGTTATATGGTTAGTCAAATTGCAATAAATTAATCAAATTTTTGTTGTTGTTTCTTTATTACTGTTCGAACTCTTCGAATACATTTATATTAAAATTCATTGGTTTAATAAGCCTAAACTAATTCCAAGGATTTTATTTAGATGATGAGTATTTGGCAATACTTTAAACAGCGTTATATGGTTAGTCAAATTGCAATAAATTAATCAAATTTTTGTTGTTGTTTCTTTATTACTGTTCGAATTCTTCGAATACATTTATATTAAAATTCATTGGTTTAATAAGTCTAAACTAATTCCAAGGATTATTTAGGTGTCTTCTGTTGTGGTATGTCCATAGACTGATACCATTTGTTATTATTAAGTTGTTAGTTTATATTAAACATTTTCTTAACAATATTGAAAATTATAGCTATTAAGAAATAATTAATCACTATGTGTGTTATATATATATTGTAAAAAATATATATATAGCATTTAAAGAGTAAAAGGATTATATGCTTTTCTTTTTGTGTTATCAAAACCAAATTTTATATGATTATTTTTTGTTTTTATATATACACTTTTTACACTTTTACGCATTTATTAATCAATCAATATATTATAATAAATCGAGTTAATATTTTTTATTTAATTTGATTTTGTAACGGTTTTATGATTTCACACTTAACACTAATCAATCACTAGACGATATTGTTAGTATCCGCAAGAAAAAACGATGAATGCAGATACTATTAGCAACTCTAAACGGAAATTTTGATAGAAATTAAACCAAATTTATCATAAATCAAATCGAACTGTTTTGATGCAACGCCTGTAAACTTCTGTTGCTGCCAATTTGGTGAAAATCTTTCCTTGGCCACAAATAATTTGCTGCAATTGCAGCAAAATTGAAAGCACTTTTCTCTTTTGTTACTCAGTTCAGTCAATCATCTTCGAGATACATTTTCCGCCAGTTTTCAAGTTTCAGCGATTTAGCGTTTGATCGTTTGAAATTCGTTTATTAATATTTTGCAATGTGCAATTAAAGTGTTTTGTGTTTTGTGTTTTTATTATTATTATTGTTGTTGTTGTATTAATTTTGAGTTGAGTTGAGTTTTTCAAAATGTGTGTGTGATTTGCCCATTCTGAAGCTTGCAGTAGAAATTTTCACGTTGCAGATGTGCAACAATCTTGCCTGCAGCATTCGTGCTGGCGTTTAACAACAACACAACAATGCAGTGCGATTTTTATTGTTGCTTTTGGAATAAAACGAAAAACAATTTATTGTGATTTCTTGATGTGAAGATTGTGAAACTGGAGCAACATTTCTGCTCATTTGCTGCATCTTCTGTCAGCTTAAACTAACCGTCTTTAAAGTCATTGTCTAGTGGTTTCCCGACTGGCAATTTTTTTTTTTGCTTTTTTTTTAATTGCAAAATACTGTCCGTGCAAAATTTTCATGGCCGTTGCACATTTGATGAGTTAATGCTTTCTTTAATAATATTTTTATAATTTTATTGTTTTTCACTTTGCTTTTTGCCATTTAATTAACAAATATTTACAGTATAAATTTTGATACCTGATTAATTTGCTTTGATTTTATAAATATTAATTTTTTTAATTTGAATGGCGCACAGCAAATATTAATTTAAATTTTTATTTCTTTTAATTTAAGTTTAATTTTATTAATGATTTATTTTAAGTATTATAAAGTTTTTATTAAACTTCAATAACACCATATTAGACCGCATTGCTTAATGTATTATATTAAATAAATTTTTAATATCCGGGTTGACGAAAGAAACTAAATTCTTTATATAAACTATCGTTTTTGATAGAGAGGTATTTCGAATAGTATTAAATTATAACAATCAAATTTTTATTATTTTATTAATGAATTGCATTTTTGGCTGACCATATAGCTGTTTTAAGTATTGCCAAATACCCATTACCATAGTTAACAATATAAATAAAAGACTAACATATATATATATATATATATATGGGAGGCATCAGAATGAGATCGGTAGTTTATTCCATACTTGGAGATGTCTACTTAGCGTCCATAATTTCTATCTATTATTTAACTATTATTCATAGTAAG